GAGGACCAACCTAGTCCAGAGAGAACTTTGGTTGGTGGTTTCAAGAATCACGCAAGATGCATCGCTTAGCAAATGCTCTGAAACCAAAACATGTCATGCAGAACACTAAATAAATCGATTTTTTAACATCTAGGATGACTGGAGCAATGCATGGACTTCCCAAGTAACAAGGGACAGTAAAACCGGGGAAGGCAGTCGACAGAACGACGCGTTCCGATAAAAAGTGGACAGTTGCAAACGTGTGGATAAGGGTTTGCTTCTGTACAGGGACGGGGCTGGAAACTGCAGTTTAAAGTCAAGTTCATCTTTTTTGAATACGCAAAGACATACAAAGTAAGTAAAACGGGTTCAAGAGCTCCCCTTTGTAAAACTCAAACAAATTACGTATGGCGGCTGCAACCAATGCTGTTCCGTTGGTAGCGCGTGTGCCAAAGAGGGTTTAAAGGATTAGGCCAAAAGGAGAGGCATTTTTGCGTTTCACACGCGCAAAGATATTTAATATTTTTATGATTCCTGTGACAGCCTTATGTTTACAAACCGTTCGTTCTTAGGTCTGCAGCATTCTTGCAATGTTTTGACCTGAACATGGACATTATGGTCAGCATGACATCTTCGTGACAGCATCACCACAGCACACAGCATCACCACAACACCCAACATCACCGCAACGCACAACACTTTTGTAATTCGATGGATTGCGCTTGAAATCCCCTGGGGGCTTCTACGGCGCCTGAGGTTTCGAAATCTATGCCGCGTATGTTGACGGCGTGCAGCTTCAGACCAGCGCACGTGGTCTGTACCAGAAAACATAAGCACCCGGCAGATAGAAAACATGTATCAGGACGTGATGTTCATCTCAATAAAGCATCTAAATGTTCTACATTCATCTGCATTTCCATGCTTCGACTATAAAGAGCCCATGGGCATATACACAAGTCATTTTCGAATCAGCGTTGGATGTAGCTTCATGCAGATGGAGTAAGTGAGCTCATTTAGCGCAAAGCGGTTAAGTTTCAACCCAAATGGCGACATTTCTCTCACCGCTCCGTGTTGTGATACATGAAGTTGTCTCCAGCAGTTCACCAGATCAGAGACGGATGTAGGATATGAGAGACTGGTGGAGGGAGCGCTTGTTTGGCAGGGTGTTGAAATGCCTACAGTTCGAAATACCTGCCACTTATTCCCTCATTTCTGTATTTATTGCCGTCCATTTCACTGGGTGCAATGGCATACGCAACGTTTAAGTGCTGAGCAGATAACATTCGCTGAATCGGCAGCAAACTCTGGGGTAAATAGTTTGGGGTTACTAAGATTAAAAACTGTTCTTGTTATCATAAAACTGTCCCGCGAACAGGTATTTCTTGGAATTCTGGTAATCTTCGTATATATAGGTAATCTTGGAATTCTGGGTCTATGCTATTATTAACAGCTGGCCCTCATAGCAAACATAATCAGGCCTTGCCGCCTGCTTCAGGGCCTTGTCACCATGCCTCTGCAAAGTTGTGCATGCAGCATCAAACACATGCGTGAGAATCCAATGATGGCTGTCGTATTAGCGCGAAGACACTAACAGAAGTATTAAGGCCACTGCCGACTTGTCGTACCATTCCTCTCTCAGTTTGCATTTTTGTCTGTGGCAATCAGAAGCATGCAGTGTGACAATGTGGCAATCAGAAGCATGCAGTGTGGCAATGTGGCAATCAGAAGCATGCAATGTGGCAAACGGTTACTTGTTCACGTCGCATGTCCGTTTTCAGCGACGCGTAGTAATACGTCACAGCGCGTTACTATGGAAAGATCGCGATTTGCCCCGACATGCCCACGACGAAGCACGCAGGGGACACCGTTAAGAATGACCACATTGTATCAGCACATGCATAAGTGAAAATCAGAACAGGGCCCAATGTTAGCGCCGCATCTGGTCCGGTGTGGCCATGAGATAGGGAAGGACCCAACTACAGCGCCGTATCTGATCCGGTATGCGTCTGTGGTCTTATGTCCGGTGTGGCTATGAGATAGGACAATGGTCGTATGTCCGGTGTGGCTATCAGATAGGACAATGTTCTTATGTCCGGTGTGGCTATGAAATAGGACAATGGTCTTATGTCCGGTGTGGCTATGAGATAGGACAATGGTCTTATGTCCGGTGTGGCTATGAGATAGGCAGTCAGGGTAACAGAACAACCCGCTCGAAAATCTCGTTGGCCATTTTGCTGTGACGCCGTAGGCCACGCTCCTGTGACGCCCACTTCCATTGTTATACGTTCTTTCATATCGAGCAATATTTTTGGATGAAAACTTGGTTTTGTTCTCTAAATATGTTCTTGGAGGGCAATTTGCGATGCATACTATCCTCGTAGATCAGTGTTCTAACGAATGGATAATCTCGCAAGTCCCCATCAGAAATCGTTTAGTCTGTCTTAAGCATATTCCGTTGCTGGACATGGGCTGGCGGTTGAGCAGATGATGCATCACGAGGTCCACTAGTGCTGCCGAAAGG